ATATATGTATGTTTATATATTTATAAATAAATGTACTGTGAGTAGGTATGTACATACAAATGAAGCATATGATTTACATCGATGTCGACTTGCAAGTTCATTGACTGAATCTAAATTACTATGAACTCGTTGGCACTCTTTACGTATTTACATAGATATTTCAAAGTTAGAGCTGCACTACACTCCTCACTCGCTTCACTTTCTTTTTGGGAGTGTGTTAGTGATTGTGCCGTGGCTTTCCACACTCTTCACCCTATGTGCAACAGCAGTGAGGCGGGCGTGATATGTACGTGCAACGGCCACTTCTACAGCAACAGCAACTACGACGACAATAACGACTTGTTGCATCGAGAAACGAAAATGTACTGAAAACGAATGAAGGAAGAATGATAGAGTGGCGGCTGCCAGGCCAGCACACACACACGCTCTTACACACACATATAATCACTAATTCAATATGTGTCAGTGTGAGTACGAGTGTGTGGGTTTGTATGCATACAAAAGCATGTTGCGCACTCAATCCGAGTGAAAAGCACGAAACGCTACAAAATGCGCAGCGAACAAAGAGAAACGGAAAAGAATTCTTCTAGGAGGAGGCAAGAACCTTCTTAATACTATTCCACTTGCAAAGTTTGGGTTCAGGGTCTTTATGCATAGTAAAAATGTAGGGCTAAATAACAGTCCTAAAAGCCCAAAACTAGAATAAGAATCGTCATTCTCAATAAGAATATTCTTTGTTTCTCTCAACTGAGAATATCTTCGCATTCTGCGACCTACCGCAATCGATTTCGCAGTTTACGGCAGTCAACTAATTCCTATTGATAGTGATAATTCGTATACCCTATAAAGTAATGAAACAGAATTTCGAAATATAATTTTAGTATAATTTATATATGAAAGAATAGTTTGTAAATCTATTTCCAAAATAATTTAAAAAATAAAGTTTGTGCGAATTAATAAACGAGTTAAATATTCCTAAACCTGTTAATGCGATTCCAAACTGCACTGAGTATCTTTATGTCGGCTAGTTCGGACTACAACGGCGCCCTGTGTCCCCCATTACTGTCGACTCATCTTGATATCTGCTTTGTTTGGCAATATTCATAAAATGGTTGCCAAGCAACTCATATAAACTGTCTTTAAACTCTCAGGTTTAAAACCTTTTTAATAGTGGTTCCTTTACAAGCTCGTAAAAAACTTCAGTTTATAAAAATTCAAACAGAATGTGTAACCAATTTTATACACATTGCAAAAATATTGCAAAACCAATATGCAACAGATGCAGTTGCTGAAAAGTGCCGACTGACCGATAGACCGAGCCACCGCCAACAACAACAACAASAGAACCAGTCACAACAATGCAGCATGCTGTCGTTTCTATACGTTTCTAAATGCGAACTACAGCGAACTCGCGGTATAGATTGCCGACTTAACCATACAAAATCCGACATACCTTCCATTAAAGAACTAAACAGTGCAGCATTAGTGGCTGTGTCGGCAGTGCTGTTTTTCTTGATATCGGGTCTAACTTTACATAAAAAGAAACCGGCTTTTTACGTTACGCGAAGACTGAGTACAAATAGGGGAGTATAGTTAGTCACTCAGCTATGGAGCTAAATCATCTTTTTGTTTGATCTAAAAAATATAGGAATTCTCGTATACGACGGGCTCATGGCAATCAAATTCAAATTTTCTAAAAATTGTATTTAACTTTTAGCACATGGGGTAGAAATCATAATAAACACTTCTTTAAGCACCACTTTAACTTTATTCCAAAAATATATTCAATATAAAATTTTTAAAAGACATTTATTATTTAAATTACAAAAAAATATTAAAATGGCTTTACAATGTTTGTTCCTTCATTATGCATTTAAATATGATTAATTTCGTATTTGCATTTGATATTATAAATAATACATATTAATGTATTATTATTAGTTTCTAAATCCTACCAAAACCCAGTAAAATTCCGCCGTTGGGTTGCTTATTTCTTATACATTTGATCATTTTGTTTTACAAGTTTTATGTAATATCTGGAGCTGAAATACAGATCACAGTGAAACCTTTATTATTGGTCCTATCACACTTATTCTAAGAAACGTTAGGCATATAACTATAAATGAAATTACTATACACAATTATAAATCGTTTCGGATCTAAAACAAAGGTTGAAATATTATAAGATACATAGGGATGCATGTACATACAGAAAGCTTTGTAACCCAAAATAAAAACAACAATATATTATAAATTTAAGTTAGCGTGTAGTTTTAAGCTTCCAGCGCAGGAAGAGATATGCTGAAACCCGCAGCACTACAAAAATTGCAACAAGCGCTGCGATATCAAGTGTGAAATTCGCGTTGACCATGTCCAGTTCCTCCAATGTAGTTGTGGGCGACTTGAAATGACAGTATGTTTGGAAGCATTTCAATTTCTCACGGCCGTAGCCATAGGTGGCCAGTGCGGTACCCTCGAAACCGTAGCGGATGTATGATAGATACGTGATCCAGCGTAAGTAAACTGGAATCGCGTCGAAGGATACGAAGAATCCAGAGAAGAGCAGGAATGGTACCGACATAACAGGGGCGAGGAAAACACCGTTTTGAACGTTCATAGCAGCACCGACGACCAGGCCAACAGATTGAGCCACGAAAGAAATCAAAAGGCAAGCCGATAAGAACATAGTGAAACGGAAAAGCTCCCATGGCTGTGACGTATAGAAGTATACTATAGATACGTAGATGACACAGAAAATGGCCTGAAATTAATATGGATAAGATAAAGCTAATAGCAACATGAATCATTAAATCAATTTTAAATGCTCGCACCTGGAATGGTAGATCCGCAACTGATATAGCCAAATAGTAAGACTTTAGGGAATACCAGCGATTAAAGTTCTCCTTTAGCAGCACCGGCATTTCAAGAGGGACTGTTGATATGAAACATTGCGATTTGT